GAGCCGTGCACCCCCAGCCACGCCCTGCGAGGTAGGAGCCCAGCCGGGGCTGAGCACTGGGGGCTCTGCCACTGGGTGGGGGAAGGGCACCGGAGACAGATCTGTTGCCCTCTGGGGTCCCTTGGGCTGGGTGTTTGGTGGGTGTCAGACACTGAATCCAGATTTGGGTCCAATCTCTGCCCCGGGCCCGTCTCTCATTCTAGGGCCCTGAGAACGCAGAGACCTTCCCCCAGTCGGGGACGCGCCCTGCTCCAGCTTGGGTGGGGGTCGGAAGGCGTGTGGGGGGAGGGGCACATGGGATTTGCCCTTCTCTGAACCTTGGCAAGATCCTCTTCCCCAGATGATCTTTCCCAGCTGTGAGGCGCTTTTCCAGGTTCGGGGGGGGGGCACGGCCTGGGAGGGGGGGGGGTGTGTGTGTGTGTGTGTGTGTGTGTGTGTGTGTGGGGCTGCCAGGCAGAGCTGCACAAACTGCAGAGGCCATTAACGTGGTGGTAGGCGTGTGGGGGGAGGGGCGCATGGGATTTGCCCTTGTCTGAACCTTGGCAAGATCCTCTTCCCCAGATGATCTTTCCCAGCTGTGAGGCGCTTTTCCAGGTTCGGGGGAGGTGGTGAGGGGGAGTTGGGTGGAGCACGTGGGCAGGAAATGTCCCTGTGGCCACACTCTGTGCCCAGGGCTGATACTCCCTGGAGCGTGCGAATGTCCCACGGAGGGGAACTCAGACCTGGTCCCTCTGCAGAGCTGGTTCCCCAAGGACTCCCCCAGCCCAGGGATGTGGCTGATTTGAGGCTCTCAGATAAAAATGCCGGAGGCTCCTGAGCCCGTTCTCCTGCTCTGCAGAGCCCGAGGGCCCACGCCAGAGTCCAGGCTCCCTGGGGTCAGGCCACAGCCTGGGGGGGCTGCCAGGCAGAGCTGCACAAACTCTGCAGAGGCCATTTCCAAGCGGCTGTTCCCAGGGGAGAACTCGCCCAGCACATGGAAGGTGCCTGGCGCGAGGGCGGGATGGCCGGGAACTAGCAGAGCTCTTGGCCGTGGGCTGATCTGAGGCATTTCCACTGCAGGTCAGAGCCTGTTGTCCAGCCCGGCTCTCTGGATTGGGCTCGTCCTGGAGAAGATGCTGACTGGAGCCTTCCTCCTCTTCCTCTTCCTGAGGGGTAAGGAGTAACCAGGGAAATGCAGCGTCTCTGTGAGTTGCTCTGGGGCGTTAGAAAGGAACCAGAGAGAACTGCACTTAATGCTGCAGCCCAGGAGCAGAGCAGGAAGGTTCAAACCTCACAGGGAGTCGGTGTTGCTGGAGGTCTCTGGGGCTGCTCATAGGACATAGACCTGTCCCATGGGCTGATCTGAGGCATTTCCACTGCAGGTCAGAGCCTGTTGTCCAGCCCGGCTCTCTGGATCGGGCTCGTCCTGGAGAAGATGCTGACTGGAGCCTTCCTCCTCTTCCTCTTCCTGAGGGGTAAGGAGTAACCAGGGAAATGCAGCTTCTCTGTGAGTTGCTCTGGGGCGTTAGAAAGGAACCAGAGAGACCTGCACTTAATGCTGCAGCCCGGGAGCAGAGCAGGAAGGTTCAAACCTCACAGGGAGTCGGTGTTGCTGGAGGTCTCTGGGGCTGCTCATAGGACACAGACCTGCCCTCCCTGTCCCATGCTGGCCCAGATCACTAGTGACCTGGTGGGTTTCCCAGTCCTGTTCCTAGAGGCCAGGTGGCCCCATCACCAGGAGACCATGTGACCAGGCACTAGCTGCTGCCCTTACCAGGCATCAGAGGCCCTGAGGATTAGGCACAAGGGGGCGATGAATCGCTCTGCCCCGTGGAGTGGGTGCTGCTGGTTTGGGGGGGGGGGGGGCTCAACGGAGAGCTGGCAGGGCTGGCCAGCTGCTGGGAATCCTGCCCTGGGGTATTCCACCCTCCCTCACTCCAGAACGAGAGTCCCACTCCTGTCCGAGCACCAGGCATTGCTGGCCCCTGGCTCTGTCCTGTGCCGGGTTTGTACAGAGGGATCGAACCAGCCATTCAGGGTACCAGCTAGGCTCCTTAGTTCACGGGGTCTCAAGTTGTGGTCTGAACCTCAGTTGGTCTGCAGCCACCTTCAGGTGGACTCCAGCTTGACCCTCAGTGCTGCACGCCCAGCTGGGAGCCGGTGCTGGGAGCCCGATGGACATTCCTTTATGAGGCTCCAGCTCTGGCTTCCCCAGCTTGTTGGGGGGAGCACAGTGTGGGCTGGGGATGCAGGCTCTTGGCAGGAGGGGTCCATGAGGGCAATGAAGGTGCAGGGTCTGGGCATGAAGGAATTGGAGGATGCTCATCTGTCCCTGCCCCTCCCAGCCACCATGTCCCACAGCCAATGGGAGCAGTGGTGAAGCCTCCTGGGGACGAGGGGGGGGAGGGAGGAGGAGCAGCAGCGCACTGGGAAGCCGGTGCTTGTTCTCCCACCTTGCTGGGGGTACCGTGCAGGCTGCCAGGTGCAGGGGAGTTGGGAGCTGAGCCTGGAGCAGCAGCCCCCCTGCAACCACTGGGCTAAGGGCAGGGTCACTGCCTGGCCCTCCTCACTCGCCTGTTGGATTCTTCCCTTTGCAGCCCCTGGTCTGTTCCCCGATGTTCTCGCCCGCTCCCCGCCTGCCACCTGCTCTGTCTGCAGCCTCTGCCCGCAGCCCGGAGACCAGCCCCCAGGTGGTGGAGCTGCAGCGCCCCCTGCTGGCCTGTCCCATGGAGCCCAGGCTTAACAAAGCGATGGTTAGGGGAGGACATGACCCAGGAAACAAACATTTAATCACAGACTGGTCTAGCTCGCCAGTACCAGGGTGATGCCCCATCCGTGTCTGTAACTGGAAACCAGACCAAGTCAGCCTGGAAATGAGGCCGAAATGTTCCCGGGGAGAGGAACTAACCGGGGCCGTTTGCCAAGGGCCGTGGTGGATGCTCCGTCAGTGACGCTGTTTCAGCCCAGGCTGGATGTTTCTCTGAAGGAGCCGCTGTCGGGATTGTCCAGGCAGGTCTCTGGCCTGTGCTGCAGGGAGGGTCAGAGCAGAGGAGCAGAACGGCCCCTCTGGCCTGGGAAGCTGAGTCTCTGATGGACGCACCCACCGCTCACTGCCCTCCTGAGGGCACAGCCTCTGGCAGGACCCCGACTCGGCTCCCCCCCCCCTCTCGCCCTCCTACCCCTGTGCTGTCTGACTGAATTCATGGCCATGTAAAACATGTCACAGACCATGAAATCTGTCTCCCACCATGAAATGGGGTCTCTTGTGCACTTCCCCCCGTACTATGCAGATTTCACAGGGATGAGATGAACTTTTCAATTTCAGGGTTCTCATTCCAAAGAGAATTGCAGGAGAGTTGCACAGTGAGTGGGGGGGGGGG